CTGCATGAAAAGTCGGGTTTAATTTTACCTTAAATGTGATTTGAATGCTGCGATTATTTAATGTTTAAATGCATATTATAACATATTGTGGGATCGTAAATGTTAGAAAATAATTAGCATTTAATACGAGTTTAATGAAAAATTAAAAGAACAAATTTAATAAAGTTTGGAAAATTGTAAACTTACTAATACGTACGGATTTTAGTCTGCCGTAAACAATTATTATACCTCTAATATACAAAACGTATAATTATTATTAAACATGGCCATAAAATTAAGTTTTACGGTCACATTAAATTTGTTCGTTTAATAAAATTTAACGTAGATCTTTACCTCATTATTTTTTGTTAAATTCACTCTTTACTTTATAATACTTCCAAAAATAAAGTTATATACGGAGAATTGTAAACTTACTAATACGTGCAAATTTTATTCTTTCATAAACTAATATTAAATCTCTTGTATATGTGATGAAAATGTACGGATTAAACCTTCCCATATAATTAAGATTTAATGTTGTATTTGATGAAATTTAACATTATTATATTATTGCGTAATATTTTTATTTTACATTTATTCCACCAATAATTTGTATGGTTTACAATTGTGGTTTTTTTGGCAAGTATTTTACAATCTTACACAAATCCATTTCTCATTCAATTTTATTAGATGTTATCTCAATAGTGTACAAACAATGAATTCTAACAAAGTACAAAATATTTCAAATCTAAGCCTAAAAGTCAGAATTAAAAAAAAATTACAATCATGATTGTAGCTCAATTATAATGGAGTAAATTTCTACATACTAGTAGTAGTAAGTAATACACTGAAGTAATTATAAATAATATAAGAATAGTATTGTATGTAAAATTCAAATCCGCAATAAATTAAAACACAACAGGTAAAAAATGTAGTCATTCTGGACTCCAAAAGACTGCAAAATCTGACTGAAACTGCCCCTATTAAAACTTCTGCATGGGTTGTAAATGGCTTTTCAATTTCCCACAATAAATTATATCATACTTTGCATAAAAAGAATAAAAGTTGCCAATAAAAGTTGTCCATTCTTTTTACATGTACATTTTAATAAGACACACTAAGCCACTAACAGAGAAGCCTCACTCGCCCACAAGCAACAGCAAAAGGATCGGTCAGAGACACCACCTTTCTCTTGCTTGGGTATCAAGATCTGCAACTTACTGCCAGCAAAGCTCTTTTAGACCACCCTTATATTATTTCCCAAGTATTTCAACAATAGATGTCCATGCACTAATTATCCAAGTTCAACTTGAAAAATACTTAATGTTGACTGTGAAAAATACAAGACCCCAAAAAAATCCTTTATATCATTTGGTTATGTCAATTCAAAATAAGGAAAAAGTATCACAATTACACAAAACAATAGCAGCTTAAATTTGTTTACAATACATGTAGCTCATTTCTGTTCCAACTGCTAGGTTTATTGCTTGATGATTGTAATATAACATATCCTCATTAAATCGATGTTACATTGGAATGCAAAACATTTCAATAGTGATATTTTCAACTTTGCTTTAAAATATGAAAAAATGAGCTCTGAAACATGCACATATAAAAGTCCTGTATAAACATATGTAAAAGTATATTTAACAATTTTTTAAGCCTTAATTACAATTCCATAACTCATAATTCATAAACTCTCTTACTTCAAATGGAAGGAAACACATTAATATTTTACTCTTGCAATTCTCATTTATTTACTCTTGCAATATCAATTGTAATATTTATTAAAATCACAATTCACCCCTTTTTTACTCAGAAATGTCTTTACCTCATTTGCCTAGTATTTTTTACATCTATGACTCACTAAGCCACTGACAGAAAAGCCTCACTCGCCCACAAGCAACAGCAAAAGGATCGATCAGAGACGCCACCTTTCTCTTACTTGGGTATCAAGATCTGCAACTTACTGCCAGCAAAGCTCCTTCAGACTACCTTTGATCATGATTGTCTTATTTTTTCCACAAAAATGTCCATGCACTTATTATTTAAGTTAGACTTGTACATATATGTGATATATAAATCAAGATTAAAATGTATGTGATTGCAGACCAATAAATGTTTAAACAATAAAATACATAACAGTTTTAATCTGTAATCAAGCATAAGAAAAAACTTTCACTGTCAAAAATACAACACTAGGTATATTTTTCTTATCTAAAATTGAATTTGTGCAAAACAGTAGCAACTCAGATATTTCATCTCTAATAGCCCATCTCTGTTCAGTTAATACATCCATAGGTTTGACTCTTTTAGATTCTTTATTTGTCCTAGTTCTTCTTATGCTCTGCCTTTTAGAGTGCTTTGATTTGAGAATGGCACTTTTGGTGTCCTGTACTTTGAAGACATTCTCACATTCATCAGAACGCAACTTCGGCTTTCTAATTTCATAGATAGTATTATCTTTAGAATCATTTTTTGTACTATGAAGATGTAATCAATATTTAAAACTGCTTTTTCTTGCTTCTTCTTCTCTTCATGCCAAGAAGTATTCAGCTCTGGAGAAGCACCCCTAGCTCCTAATTTCTGCAATAAACATAAAAATAAATACCCATTTGCCTATATATTCATATTATATGTGTGCTTCCGGATTTATGCAATTGCATATATTAAATAGTAAAAAAAAATCTGAGTTGATTTTAAAATTATCATTTGACCTAGAGGAAACACAGCTCAATTTTGCTTAATTAAAAATTTACAGAAGACTACAAAAGATATGCCATTTTTTTCAAATCTGGGTAATAAAGACAGATAATTATCTTTAATTTCAGGCCAGCGAGCTACAGATTTCGAAGCGTGTAAATTTGGGTCTAATGATTTTTTTCACCATCTTTTTTTTTGGGAGCATTTTACCTGCTTCACCTTGAACATGTTGAGGTGCCCTTTTCTCTGCTCCTCCATACTAATTCTTTCATTTAGCAGCAAGATACTATGGATATGGTAAAAAGCTGTCATAAACAAAATATGAAATATTAATAACAGGTGTGGCTCTCCATAGAAAGAATATACAAAAAAGGAGAAAAAAATATACAAACAGGGTATACTTATGACTAACATGACTACAGCAAGAAGATAACATTTTACACAATGAAAAAAATTCTCTGTGTCATCTAGTTAAGTGAATTGAATAAAAAAACCATATAATTATATGTATAGATCAAATTTATAGATGACAAAATATGATATGAAACATACATAATGGTACCGTAGTCCGAGCACATGGAATTTGAAGATTTACAAAGTTGAAAATGCAAAGAATAGCATTTACAGCATTTATCACATTAAGACACACATATATATAGTTTCACAGCAGCAAGCTGCAGAATTTGTGGAAGTACATGTAAATTGGGGACTGGTGACTTTTTGCCATTTTTTTTTTAGCAATTTTCCAATGTATAAGATACTATGGATAAAAAAAAATATGAAAAATTAAAAGCAGGTATGGCATCTCGTAGAAAAAATATACAAACAAATGCATTTATGATATAGAGCAAGTAGATAACATTCATACAATAATAAAATCCTCAAACTTTGTGATCTAGTACATATTATGATATGTATTATATTAAATTTAGAGACGACAAAACATGATATGAAATGGGTGTACATACTCGGAACACATGGAATTTAAGAGTAAACTTAAGGTCTCACACAAGGAAATAATTTCACTATATATTACTATAAAGCTTGAATTAAATTATTTAATTTATTAGACTCTCAGCAAAAAATTCATGAAAGAGAAAATAAAGATTAATGCTTAAACAAAAATTTGAGATCAGAAAAAATATGCCTTATGCGGCTTTTAAGAAAGAAAATCGACAGTAAACATACCTACCACGAAATGCACGTGGGATTCACATGTTGACAAACAGCCTACACACCATCCAGGAAATTGCATCATGCGCACCTGAAAAAAGAGTGCCTTTTAATTCAGTGGGATAATTCTGCTAAAGAAATGATATTCCTAGTACATGAGTCCAATTTTAATACTGTAGGCCTAAAACAAATTGCCAAAAATGAAAAAAGAAAAAAAAATTTCTCTATATATATGGAACTTCAATTGACTAAGTTCATTTTGATTGGCTATTTCCTTGCGTAAGACCTTAAATGCAAAGGTTAGCATCTACAGCATTTAACAGGCAAGTTATTGGGATAATGAACAAGTGATTTAACATAAAGTAAAATATATTAACAACTTACACTGTAGATAGCAAGTTTTTTAAGTGGACAACAAATGCAAACTTCTAGTAAATGGTGGCAATCTCATACACAATAAGTTGTACAACAAATGATTAGTTTGTACCTCATACTGGGTAGCCAAATATCTGGTCAAGTCACTTTCAGGAAGAGAGCCTCAGCAAGTTCAATGTTGATCATTCCCATAGCTACTTCAAACTTTCCTGGCACAATTTCTGAAAGAAAAGATGTATCTTGCAGGGATTTTTATTCAAACAAGGAATAATTCTCATGAATGTAAAAATTTGAAAAGTTTAAAGATGACCGACGAATACCAGACACAGAACAGAAAATTCGCTCGGGTCTTAAAATGGCTCAGGTGAGCTAAAATAAATCAATTCATGTGATTTTATTGATCTTATCAGAAAATTTAAGAAATCTTACCGTTGTGTTAATCTTCATACTGCTTTTGTCATTTCTTGTGAGCATTTGGATTCCTGTAAATAATGCATGCATAATTGTGCATCATAGAATGTGATAGCTATTTCTAATAATTCATGCTTACGTATTTAACGTAAAAAAATTACGCATAACTCAGAATCCATTGCTATTGTATTTTTAAGATAAGGAAAATAAGAATACATGTATAAACCTCGTATTGTCTACTTGGTATATAGCATTTCAAGTTGTGGCAATATTTTTTATACTCTTATGCATAAAGATACAAGTTAATAAAACATTGTTTGTTTATTTGTGAAAATAGAAAATTTGAGCGGTATGGTTCTCACCATTTTCACAAGCAGTCTACATAGCCGGCGTTATGGGGAATCGTCTCAGGCAGAGTCCACACTGCAACTATTTAAATAATCAAAATAAGTGCTCAAAAAATTCTTGAGTAGGCATTAAGAAATAAATAAATAATTTATTACATTGTACAACACTCTCTGTAAATGCTGAACAGAGGAACACTTTAGTGACAAAAATTCTGAAACCAATCCCAAAATCCATCTTTAAGTAAGATGGTTAAGTGTTAAATAATTATTACAAAATGTAAATAGCGCTTGCCCAAACGTTTTTACTGCCAGGCATTTTATGTGTACAGCCCAGACTAAGGAACAGTAACATTATCAGTAGCAGAGGCAATTATTCATTCAAGGACATATGATAAAATTTTGTACATTGTTCCTACCGCTAAACAGGGTCGTAAAAGTCTTCATCTTCTATTAAAACATAAATTCCAGCCAAAGTTTATCATGCTTCTCCTTTTCGAGTAACTCTCTTTCGCCCCTTCCCCCCGTACAACATCATGATCAAATTCAACATGGCTGCGTGGAACTCTCCAAAAAATTGAATTTCGGCGCGGTGTGTTGTTTTTAAATAAATTGCTTTTCGAGCCCGACTTCGATCCCGATGTAATTGTACTACAGTGGTAGTCGATAGAGAATAAACTAAGTTATATTTCACAGTTTTGAAAAATCTACATAAGGGTTAAATAAATAAAAATGAGAAATAAATAAATTAAAATGAATAGGGTGCCTAAATATTTTTTTTCAAAAATGTTTCAACATAAGTTTACATTAGGTATAAAGAATTATTTATGACATATTCAAAATACCAAAAATGTACTTAAACTTTAAGTATAAGCATATTTACTTTTACATGTCGATATTCTTAAACGGGACGTATAATTATCTCAATTAAACTATATTATTCTCGACGTATTTTGCATTAAATATGATTATACTTATTTGAAAACTGTATTTAATTATATCACAATATATCTCATGTAAAATGTACCGTTATACATAAATTAAATTCAATACAAGAAATTTACTGGAGTAAACGAATTTATTAAATTATATTAAACGCGACTTTTCATGCTATGACTTCAAGTCACTGCATACTTGAGCTGACATATGGGAAAGTAATAATAATAATAATAATAATAATAATAATACTTTATATTAAGAGGGTGACCCGATTAGTGCAATGCACTAGTTTTCCCCGGGGCCCTCTAAGCATGTTCACAATAATACAATAATGAAATCATTGTACAATAATAAATAATACAACATGACGTAAAAATACAAGTACATATAGATTTCAGGAGATTTTAGTTGCGGCATGTTTTATGAATTTTTCTACATTTTTACGAAATGTGTGTAAATTCTGTGAAAAACGTATGTACAAAGGTAGTTTGTTCCATAAATGAACACCGGAATAATGAAAAGAATTTTTAAATTGATTTGTTCATTTTTCGGTAATGAAGGTCATAGTTTGTTTCAGATGTAAAGCATAACTACTAGAAGAAATAAATTCAAAAGAGTCTCTTAAATAAGTAGGTGCCATACCATGAAGTGTTTTGTACAGTAATATATATTTATGAAAATCAATCAACTCGTAAATAGTCAGCCATCCAAGTTTTTCGAATAATGGTAGTGAAGGGGCATCATAAGCCACATCTAGTATAATACGGGCTCCCCTTTTTTTGCAATTTAAAAACTCTATCTATGCCAGCACCTGGCCATTCCCCCAAATAGTTAGGCAATAATTAAAAGGGCAAAATGTATGCATTATAGAATAGTTTTCTTGTGTGTAAGGGAAGGAATTTTTTAATTTTGGCAACGTATATAATTTATATGTCAAAGATTTACAAACTGAGTCAATATGGTGATTATAGCGCAATGAACCATAATATGCACTCCCAGGTTTTTCAATTAACATTTTCAATTAATTTGTTTGAAGCATATAAATTTTTTCGGTGAATCTATTCTTGATTTTCTCTGCTGAGTTCCCATAAGCATACATTTTGTCTTATTGGTATTTAACACCATTTGATTTTTGGAACACCAATTTTCAATCTCACACAAATCAAAGTTAAGGGCATTCTCAATACCTTCTATATTTTTATGATATGTATGCAAGGTTGCATCATCGGCAAACATATCAATATCTGTTCTATTTACATGTAAAGGGAGATCATTTATATACAATAAAAATAATAGGGGACCAAAGATAGAACCTTGGGGCACTCCTGCTGTGACGGGCAAAAAATCAGAGGAATATGTTCCTATTTTTACACACTGAGACCTTGAGGTTAAATAAGAATGAAACCATTTAATAGCCCTTTGATCAAAGTGATATGATTGAAGTTTACTTATAAGAATTTCATGATTAACCAAATCAAATGCCTTGCTAAAATCAATGAAAGTTATGCCTCTAGATTTCCTTGGTCCATAGCTTGTAGCCAATTATCCGTAAGTTTTGTAAGAGCCGTTTGACAGGAATGAAATTCTCGAAATCCAGATTGTGATTTAAATAAAAGATCAAAGTTAGAGGCAAAGTTACGTATTTGATTTGCTATGTGTTTTTCAACTAATTTTGATAATGTTGGAAGAATGGATATGGTCTGTAGTTCCCTGGATCTGCGTGGTCGCCATTTTTGAAAAAGGAGTGACTTTTGCTTGTTTTAAATATGGAAATACTCCATTAGTGATACTAGCATTTATAAGATGTGTAATAGATTTACATATGACATTTGCCGAAAGTTTTAGAAGACGATGTCCGAAAAAGCTATACCGGCTGACTTATTTACATCAAGTGTATTCAACATATTCAATACTTCAAATTCAGTTATTTCTTAATCTGAAAACATTTTCTTTCCCTAGTTTGTTTCTGTATACCGATTTAAAAATTTCTGAATCAAAACTTTGTACTGACATATCTGCTAATAATTTACAGGATATTTGTAAAGTGTTTGTTAAAAATATCAACAATATCCTAAAATCTTCAAAATCTAAACCATTTTGTGTAATACGGTAGGTGTCAAAGTTTTGGATTTAGATGCCAAATGGTTTAAATTACATTTCTTTAGGATTTGAGTTTTCTTCAATTGCAGTTTGTAATACTTTGATTTTGCTTGATCTATTAATTGTGTAACTTTATTTCTCCAAATTTTGTAATTTTCTGAATTCCTTTGTAAATGATATGTATCGCGTAAATGTCTGGCACCATTTATTTCCTGTGTTAGCCTTTTAGGTCGAATTTAGTCTTGACTCTTTTTGTTTTTACTTTGGCATGCCTGTTAAGAATATCATTAAACAATTCATAAAATTTATTCATTATTTGTTTGGGCTTTTTTAAGAAGAGTGTTAAAATTTGCATTTTCTAACTCTCTCAAAAACTCGTTTTCGTTGAATTGTTTAAAATCTCTTATTGGATTTCAGTATGTTTTCCTCTACGATGTTAAATTAGTTTTCCGTGTCAAACATACAGGGTAGTGGTCAGAAATAGCAATAGGGGGCACATTTGTTTCACATATGTTTTCTGGTTTAGTTGTATAAAAATGATCAATTAAGGTACTTGAGGTACTTGTTATTCTAGTAGGAACAGTAACTATCTGAGAAAGTCCAAACTACTCTAAAGCAGATGTCCAATATTGTGGGGGGTTTTATTAGATCAATATTAAAATCACCTGATAGAATAATTTCAGTATCGTCACAGCAGGAGGCACGGTTCACCTCCCTTGCTAGGTTTCCGCCCAGCAGGAGGGGGCAGATGGTGGACGATAAGCAGAGCAATAAAATATAGGTTTTGAATTTTTTAGATTTATCTCTAGCCATATTGTTTCAATATTACTGATTTCAAAATCAGTTCTACGTTTATAAGAAATGTCATTCGAAATGTATATTAAAATTCCACCACCTGCCCTTAGTATTCGATCTTTTCTTTCAAAAACAAAGCCCTCAATATTTAATTCAGCGTTGCCTATCTGCTCGGTCAAAAAAGTTTCACATATACCTAAAATGTCTAAAGTTTGCCTATTTTGGAGCAATAGTTTTATTTCGTCAATTTTTGGAATAATATGACAAATATTTAAATTTCCGAATCGTAAACCTTTTTTTACCAATCCAAATCCTTGGTTGTTTTGTGTTGTTTGAGTATCATTATTATGAGTCAAAGGGACTGTTTTCATTACTTGTGAAACAGATTTGAATGAGCTTGGCACAGGAGAAATGACAGTGGTTTGTTCAGCTGAATTGGGCTACTTTTAGAATCCGTGTTCGATTGTGTCTTACTTTTAACATGTGGTTTTCTTGACAATTTAGAATTTGTGAGAAATTTCAGTTATCAATATCGTTACATAAACATTGTAAATTGTTACATTCATTACAAATAATGCTAAGGATAGAAAATGTACTAGAGTTCGAAAAAGATTTAGTATGGTTGTTAACGGCTACACATTCATTGCCTGATACCTAGAACATGTAAGGACAGAATTTCGTCTTGTGTCCTAATTCACCACAGTTCCAGCAATCAAGCCTTCGTCCGTGTCTACATTGGCGTGATGTGTCTCCGTGTTCACTGCAGAAGTAGCAAGTCATATACTGGTAAAAACTCGCATTGGAATCTGTATTGGTTGACTGGAATTTCTCGCAAAATCGAAACTTCACTGTTAATCCGTTTTAGAAGCACTGCCGTCCCCTTGTCCGAAAGATGAAACCCCTCTTTCCAATAATGCATACGGTTTACCTCCTTGATTTCACTTATGTTGGAAATAAATGAACCTCCATATTCATCACATACATATTTCAATGTGGTATTCACATGAGACACATCCACATCCCCTCTTGGTAATCCTGGAAAAATAAACTTTGGTTCCCGGAGAGCGATGTTTGATGTGGTGATGATTTCTGCCGCATCATGTTCAATTACGTCCACGTCTCGATGAGATGAGGCATATTTTCCCCCGGGTTGAATGATGATGTGGGAATATTCTAATGCAATTTTTTGAATTTTTTCTTTGATGTGGGATAGTTTAGCACCTCTATTAGTTCTCACATGAACACCCTTTTGTGAACCCCTTTTTTTACCCGT